AACCCAGGACGTATCAGTCTCGCGCCAGACGCTTAACAAACTAAACCACTGAGCCGGCCGGCGTCCGACGGTGTTAATGTCTAACTTCAACCAATCCACGAAGTTGCGCCACTGAACACCATTGCCTTCAGTGAGCTGATATCTCACAACAGACCTGGTTGAACTCCACTGGTGACGGATTCTCACTAGAACTCCAAGAGGTTCTCCTGAGGTCAGTCACTAGTGAGCAGTTGATTATTATCAGAATGAGTTTTGTGGAGATTTTAGGAAATTTCACAGATTGAAATCATGAGTCAGTTGAAGCTAGACCACCATTGGCGCAACTTCGTGGACCGGTTGAAGTTAGACATTAACACCGTTGGACGCCGGCCGGCTCAGTGGTCTAATGGTTAAGTGCTCGCGCGCGAAGCCAGTAGGTCCTGGGTTCGGATCTCGCGGGGGGCGAGTTCGTGGATTCGCGCTGCTGAGGAGTCCCATACTAGGACGAAACGGCCGTCCGGTGCTTCCAAGCTTTTAATGGTGGTCTAGCTACAACTGACTCATGATTTCAACCTGTGAAATTTCCTAAAATCTCCACAAAACTCATTCTGGTAATATTAATGATAGTAATAATCACTACGATGACTGATCCCATTCCACTGTTTTCTTAATTGGTGATGACTAATTACAAACATTGTAACAAACCACAGTTCTAACCATATTTTAATTGTCGAAGAAACATGAGTGAACATTGTGATTGGTTGGAAGTTTGTTCATCCACTACTACTTGATCGTATCGATAGTAATTGTCATCACATTGCCAATGTCTAAATAAGGATATTGAAAAAACATTAGACCAGATTATACCACACTAGAACATCGTAAGTGCATGTGACTAATTGAGGTCAAACTCAATTGTTGTTATTTTCTTATTGTGTGAATATTATCAGTGAGGAGATAAACTGGTCAAATCATTCATTAATCCACTCATTCATGCATTTTAGTCAATCATTACAGGAAGTCACATTTTATTGTTTTGTCAACAGTTCACTTGCACATGAAAAACAACTAGACTAAATGTGATCGTATGATGTAAAGTGTCAGAGTGTGTGTGTGTGTGTGGTTGTGATTGTGGTTGACTGTATTAGATGAGTGCACTTTTATTCGTGTGGGCGTGTTGATTGATGATGAATAGAGTTGAAGGAAGATTACACAATGACAGCTTCACACTATTAATGAGAACTCTTCCAAATTATGAATATTATTGTCAATTGCAACTTTCCTTCAAATGATCAATCTATGAAGATGGTATGAATGGATCGAGTCAATTACTACACGAAATTCATTCTCGAATATTTCATGTAAGCATTGCACTGTTTGACAGGTATATTATTCACAAATGACTAATATGTTGTAGATGGTGGTGTATTCAGTCGAGTAAAACGGGAATGATTTTATCCTCTAATACGTTGAAGTCATAATTCATGGGTAATTCATTTCATAGTATCTGAGTAATGTGTCTCCCTGTATAACAGTACGGAACAAGTACGATCTTGGCAAAGTGGTCTAGTTTATTAACTAAACAAATTTAGCAGTACAGATTGTGTACATACTGCAGCAAATAGTAATTCATTAGGAGCAATCCATTAATCTACGTTGACTACTTTCGACGGCATTGTTGTGTTTTGGCTGAGATCACAAAGCTGTGATCAGTGGAGTTCAAGCGTGTTTGATGTGAGGCATTTACCCACTGAAGAAATTGAGGACGGTCGTGCAACATCATGGATTGGTTAAGTTGGACATTAACACGGTTGTATGTCGGATCACTGTTATACAAGCTAAGTGTTCGCATGTGATACCGAAATTACTGTGTTTGAGCAATTTTTGTGGGATCGTGTGCGTGCACACCTGGGGATTCCAATAATATGATGGAACTGTCGTCCAGTGATCCAGGTCTTCAATAATCATCCGATATTCATCCATCTCAATCATCAATCATGTCAATCAAGATATTCATCAAACAAATAAAAAACTATTGATCAGTCATTGAATGTTGGAATGGTTGAGTTTGATGAATGATTTGACAAGCGTTCGGTGACACATCACTGGTCCTACACTGTGTTAGTCCGATAAAATACAGTAGTCCATATCTTTCGTGCAATATTCTTCTTTTTAAACTGACGTTGCGTACCACTTTTGAATAAGTTCAGAAAATCAGGATAAACCGATGAGTTAAATCAGTGAATAATTGGAATGCCAATAATAATCGTGCGATTAACATGGTTTATTAAGTTCATGTGGTAAGTGAGATAGCACTATAGACGTGCTATTGTAAATAATTGATAATCCACATACTCAACATCACCATCTCTGTGTTCTTATCAATGTAAAACATACATTATATCGATATACAATTAATTTCACTAATCTGCATTCAGCGATTAGTTTCACACACACACACACACACAGATGTTTCCTTCCTGTGAAAACAACTGGCTATTCAAACGCCACGAACGTAATAGTGACCGAATTCGACTTCAGAATAATCCAAGTATTCATTCCTCTCACATTTCGATAGAACATTCACTATGAAGTTTATGAACTGATAGCTATTAATGAGAATGTTCCGTACACTTGATTCAAGTAATGTATAACTCATAACAAGATCTAATGAATAAGTGGGAGATTTCTCCTCATTATGGTTTTCCTTAAGATCACATGTAATTTTACATCATTTCAATACATCGCAAAGTAATGTTCATATGCAATATCTAATATTCACAATCACATTTTAACAACAAACTCTTATCCATAAAACACCATCACCACCACCACCACCAACAACAATAATGTTATGAACAGATGAGAAAGTTCCCTCAATTTATTTTTTGTTTTTTCATCATTTCTGTTAACTAATTACAATTAACTTGACAATTGATTGATTATTCAACGACAGAGTAATTATTGATTGCCACTTTTCATAGTGAAGTGAGAAACAGAAACGAAATACAATGTGGAAGATAATGAAAATCCGTTGACAATAGATTGGACAAGTGAACTGGTTTTCATTCAGTTTACAAATGATCATTCTGCGAATATCATTTCGGACGAATAGAGATGAATGAGCAATGACAACAGAACAAGTGAGTTGATCCGATCATCATCGTCATTATCATTAACATGAACACGTACACTCATAAACAGAGAGAGAGAGAGAGGGAGGTGGGAGGGAGTAGGGAGTTAAGTAAACAGTGTGTTCACCATTGTTGTGTGTGTTAGTTAGACAGAAGAGATAAGTGTGAAAATGGCGTGGAGATGTGAACGCTTTACACGTGTGAAATGCAACACATTGACACATTGAGTCAACTGGAACAAAATCAACAATATCATGTTATCTTCAACCTGTTCAAATAAGAGCGCACAATATATGGAAACAAATGAACAAACAATCAAACACTCAGACAAATAGAGAAACGAGAGAAATAATTAAACAAATAATTGATGAATGAATGAATGTGAATGGAAATGAAGATTATGTCAATGTGTTTTCATTGTGTTTTTGTCCGACGGTTGAACAAGTGTATATGTTGCAACTGTCAACATTTCATACTTTCAAACACCGTAGTAACATGAAAGTAGACAGCATAATCAACTGTGAAATGAAAGCAAGCAATTAGAAACTATCGTTAACTATCGTTAATTAAAACAATTTGTGAATGAGTTAATCAGTTAGTTGTATGAGAAGTGAGAACCCGCACAATACTGAATTGAACAATCGATCTCATTCTGTCATGCTTTAGGCTATCTACATTGAATTCAGTAAAGTCATCAATTGATTGTCTTTCTCTCTGTCTCTCGCTCTCTCTCTCATTCACGTCTGTAAACACACACACTCTCTCTCTTTTGTGTAATTGGTGTAGACTATCACATTCGACGTGACAGCATTAATCTGTTCGGAAGTAATATTTCTATCATGTGGTGACAATATTATGTTTGGCTGTAGATGGCGGTGACAAATTCGTACGAATAATGAATGAGATTGTTTGGTTGGTGTGTATGATGTGTGGGAGAATGGATGTTTCAAATAGTAACAAATTGTTTTGATCGATTGATGACAGTTGTGGACATGGGGTTTTGTTCAGTTCATAGATGTGAATTATGGAATACCTTGATAGTGTTACCAGTCAGTCGAGTAATTCAGCAGTAAGATGTTGAGTATTTGGTGATATGGGAGTGTTGATCTAGTAGTGACTGGTGATATGGAGATGGAATCAAGTAGGTTTCACTACATACGACTCATTGAACATTGTCCACTACTTGGATCAGACTCATACATTCTGATTTGGTTGTGTTTGAATGGAGCAGTGACTAATTCTCACGATAATAGACAATATGCTTCACATATTTCAAATTGTGACCATCAACACACCATCACGTTTCATTTTATTATTGGGCGATCTTGTGTTGCGATCATACACATACAGTGATGGTGTTTACTTGTTGATAAATATCAAGAGGAGAACTGCACTTTGATCTACAACTTGTTTGATCGGTACTTGAAACAGGTTGACACTGAATAACTAGTGATGTTTATCGTCCTTCTTCGATACTCATAGATGAATCGGATGATGGTATGAATGTGTATAATTAATTTACTTCACTTCGCTCATCTTCCATTTTGCATTTGTTGTTCTTTCGTTGTTTTTTTACTTCGTTTGTTTGTTTGAAATAGTCATAAACTGTTTATCGTTTAATTGTAAAATGCGTCTCGTTTTCTATTGGGATCCTGTCGCATCGTCTACATACCCTTTCTGTCTCTGTGTGTATCTGTGTGTGTGTGTGATTTTTCTTGTTATTATGTTATGAGTTGCTGAATTTTGTTTTTGTGATTATTTATTAACATTGTTTATATTATGTCTATTTATTCCGATGGGATATTTTCCAGAAAAGTAAAATTGTTTTGGGGTAAAATATAGATTCATTTAAGTAAACAAATAACACATGTGTACAATAATCATTTCTCAATTTCTGTCAGTTTGTAAACCTTCAAGTGAAAGTTTGTTTGATATCAGTTTTATGTGACACAGTTGAAAAATAATTCTTTTCATCATCATCATCATCATCATCATCATCATCATCATCATCATCATCATCATCATCATCATCATCATCATCATCATCATCATCATCATCATCATCATCATCATCATCATCATCATCATCATCATCATCATCATCATCATCATCATCATCATCATCATCATCATCATCATCATCATCATCATCATCATCATCATCATCATCATCATCATCATCATCATCATCATCATCATCATCATCATCATCATCATCATCATCATCATCATCATCATCATCCAATGTTGTGCACGCATACTTTTGATAAATCTTGGATTGAAACTAAATCTTTATTTTGAAAAATCTATGATAAACTTAAATAATATGAACTCAATTCTAATAATATAAGGAGTTGACAATTTAGTGTACTGTATTTGATATTATATGTTTGGAGGTAATCAATAAGGAAGAAACTCAGGTTCTCTGGGTAGTTAACATTCATTAACATAAAAGGTTGAATTGCTGGTTGACAACTTTTCTGAGTACGAATCCCGTAATACGAGTTCAAAACTCTGAAAGAACGTTCGTTTTTTTTATTGCTAGAGAAACTGAAACTATGAGAAAAAATTATTAAATTTAGGAAAACATTTTAGTGATACTAAGTTCTCTAACACGAATGATTTATTTTAAAAAGATTTTCTTGTCGTTCTCCACAACATCACTAGCGCTTACTCCATGTAGAAGTAAGCACTTGAGTTTGTAGTTAGTTGAACTCTTTCTTATAAACTTATAAATTAGGTCATCAACGGCATCTCTGTTACTCATCGATTGACCTGAATAAAATGTTTCTTGAAAATCCTTACGATTCTTGGGATATTTTGGACCCATGATATGAATAATTTCTCAATCAAATTTGTATCAGAAGTTGTTTAGATGCATTGCTATCAGTGATAGCATAGCATACCTTTTCACTGTTAGCATTCGTTCACGTGTATACTGGTGACGGTGGCATTTACTCAGTCCAGTGAAGTGTTTTTCACAGTTAATACAGTTTATTTGATAGATAATGTTGTATTTGTCTTCGTTAGCTGTTGCAGTGAGACTATAATTTATGGATGACCTTTGAGCAACGCCTTAGCGACCTTGAGTATGTCCACCTACTAACTAGGACTAAATGATGGTGATAAACTAGTGTAAGGAATTAAAATTATGATTTACAGTTGACGGTTAGGGTCAGGAATCAGATTTACGGTTTTTATCACGAACTGACATAAGCTATAATACCAAGACGCTATTTAGATAAATGGATTATTGAATTTCCAGCCAAAATCCATGATCTGTTATCCTAAATCTGACTGGTTTGTCGATAAATTATATTCTCGCCGCTGTTGCTTCCCTTGATCTGGATTGAATGATAAATATTAGCCAACAATAAGTTTATATCCAGGGCTTCTAACAGAGTGTCATCAACATCTTAACACAATGGATTACTTGTTGTGAGGCATTTAAAATAATTTTCTTATGATGAGAAATGATCATTTATTATTTATAAACCATACAAAAATCGCACAGCTATGATAACTTTATTATTCATTGAGAACTCAACAACACAATAATGCATCCTTTGTAGAATCAAGCTCGGAACGGTAAATCTTCTTGAAATAAACATTGGTTTCCTAAAAGACGATCGAATTTGCATGTAACACGAACTATATACTATGAAACTGAATAATGAGGTGGGACCAATTGAACTTCCGAGTTATGACTGGAGTAATGGTTTTATGGTAAGAATGTTTAAGATCCAATCACTTAATTATTGGATCAGAACTCACACTTCGAATTCAGATTTATTAACCAGGCAGTATCACTTTGATATTGAATGATTTGAAACATTCAACAGGAAACCTTGAATCTAGTTTTCATTCTAGTCGGTGCTAGTTAACATGATATACTTGTGATATTATAGAGAGCGATATTACCTATGGTTTTTGAGCTCACGTTTCTCAACATAACAGCCTGAGACGTTACCATTGGGCTATTCGGGTCGTGTTCGGCCTTATATAATGATAACATTTTTACTCAGGTTAATTACTGAGTAGTGACCGATCTTGTGTTTTTAAAATCCTCCAGGCATCACTCACTGGTCAAATAGCCAAGTGGCAATGTCTCTGGCTACAAGGCTATGTGACATAGGTTCAAATCCTACAGATAAGATTACTCCCCGTAATATTATAAGTATATCTTATTAATGAGTGTTGACTAGAATAAAAACTAGGTTCAAGGTTTCCTATCGAATGTCATCAACCGGACTAACCTTTTTAAATACTTCACACAACATGGAGATAATCAAGTTAGTTGCCATGCTGAAACTTAGTCGATGGAATCAATTCACTATTAGGAACTAGATAAACAAGATAATTGCCACTAATCAGTGACCAATTAATGAAAATAGTGTCATCAATTATTATATCATTAGATTTTATCACAAACTGATATTAAATTTTTAAAAATCATCTTTCTGTTACACTTCTCAGTAAATTAAACCTACAACTCAATACAATATTAAACACAGAACCTGATATCATCTTGAGTTGACCAGGGTATCATTTCACAATTTCGTCAGAATTCAATGACTTACATTTTCAAATCTATTAATTTTACACCACTTATATAGAATTTACTAATTAATATTCGTAACTTAGGTCACTTCATAATATTATGCTTCCATCATCCTATGCCTGTCATTATAGAGAATATAGTTAAATCAGATGTGAATTAATAGAACTGAAGGCCTGTAAATTCTATTACATATCCTCATTCAGAAGGAAAGTATTATATGCTTCTGACTAATAGTTAAGAATAAAATCCTGAACACACTTTTCATCCTACTGGGAACTCGTCAGTTGGGCATACCTGTACATTGCAGTTTTTACGTTAGTAACAAGACTTGAAATGTGAGCCTATCATCTTCTAATTGCTCACATCTGGTGCTCCGCTATCTTCATTAGACTTGAAGATAAGACAAGAATCATCGTTTTATACGCAAAAATCCGTTTGTTTTTCTTTTCAGCATCATTCTAATATTCGTTCATGATGCCGCTTTCACTTCCAATGAAGTTACAGAAGTAATATAAATAAATTCAATTGGTATTCAGTATGGGTGTTGTGGAGATTGTTAAGTTTTTGGTTGAGATCATGAGTCAATTGATGTTAGACCACCGTTGGAAACCTGGAAGCACTGGACGGCCGTTTCGTCCTAGTATGGGACTCCTCAGCAGTGCGCATCCACGATCCCGGACCCCGCGGGATTTGAACCCAGGACCTACTGGCTTCGCGCCTGAGCACTTAACCATTAGACCACTGAGCGCACTGCTGAGGAGTCCCATACTAGGACGAAACGGCCGTCCAGTGCTTCCAGGTTTCCAACGGTGGTCTAACATCAATTGACTCATGATCTCAACCAAAAACTTAACAATCTCCACAACACCCATACTGATAACTATCATGTGCTCACTAGTGACTAGCTTCGTGAGGGAATTCTCGGAGTTCTAGTGAGAAGTCGTGACCAGTGGAGCTAATCCGTGTCGGGTAGAGACAGGTATCTACCTTAGTACAATGGAAGTTGGTCGCGCAATTTCGTGGATTGGTTGATGTTAGACACTAACACCATTGGATGCCCGCTCAGTGGTCTAATGGTTAAGTGCTCAGGCGCGAAGCCAGTAGGTCCTGGGTTCAAATCCCGCGGGGTGCGGGATCGTGGATGCGCACTGCTGAGGAGTCCCATACTGGGACGAAACGGCCGTCCAGTGCTTCCAGGTTTCCAACGGTGGTCTAACATCAATTGACTCATGATCTCAATTGGTATTGTCTACTTCAATCTTCCCACTGTAATTCGTCAGTCTCTTATTGGCATTTGCGCATACTGTATGTATTGCGTCGATATAGCCTTGATTCACAAGCATTATATGCAAAGATGGTTGGTGACTAGCAGTGGAATCCAGAATGCATATTTCTTTCTATTTGGTACTTGTCAGCTGGATGTATCCGCATCTCAGAGTTGATGTTCATTCTGGGACTCGAATTCAGTACCGTTTGCTTAAAACATCATCGTGTTGTCCACTTAGCTACTAAGTTCTGATATCCACTTGCTTATGTAATTGGCTGACGAGTCTCAAATAGGACGAAACGCGCATCTTAGATTCGACTGCTAGCCACTACCCATCATTACAAGTAGTATGAATAGTTTTAGTACTTTGGGTAGTAGTAATATTCAAAATCACTAATACAAGTTTGAACTTGTAAATAAATGAGATCTATTCAATGATCTTTAATTAAATAAACAATTATTTATTTATCTTTTCTTTTATTGACTTTTTCTATCATTTAGTGACAGAAAATGAAAATTTTTTTATGATAGAATAACAAATATCTACACATATCATGATTAACACCAGATTTTTTTTTAACTGAATCATATCAATATCTGTAGAATCTATCTTATTAACCTAACTTAACCTATCCGATCCTATCCAATATCCCTTATTAGTTTTCATGTATCATTTAGATAGAATTTTCGTTTAGAATAAACACAAGTGGAACACATGGACAAGTATTCTGTTTAGATAATGAGAAGGGTAGAAAAGAAAAACTACTTATTCATTCATTCATTCATCCATCCATACTATAATCATCATCTTAGGGATAAACAGAAAGAAGAAAACAAATAATAAAGGAAGAAAGAGATATTGTTTTTTTTGTTGTTGTTGTTTTGTTTCATTCTTTTTCCCCCTTATTAATAGTTTCGAATAATACTCTTTGTCTATAAGAAGACTTTGTTTATCTTATAGATAAATGTTTCGAACTAATAAAAATACAAATATCCAACCTTTCTAAAAGACATTAAACCAGGAGGGAGGTAGGGAGGGAGTGAGGTACTTTATAGTTGACAATAATCAGGGTGGTGTATACAACACACATGCGTAAGTTGATGTTTTTCATTGCATACAATAAAGAATTAAACGTAGTGATTTAAAAGTTTATCAAATTTGTTGACCATGATTTTCATCAATCTTTCTTTATCTTACACTTACTCATATGGTAGCCTTTTTTTGTCTTCTTCTTCTTTCCCTCTCTCATTCATTCGTTTATTGTCTTCAATGTGAAGCGAATATTGTTCAGGACGTTTAATAGAAGACAGTAGCTGATCATGAAATTATCAAGTGTATATATAATAATATATACATCTGTTGAATATTTCATCTTTAGTAGTATGTATAACATATATATAGAGAGAAGAATATCATAAAACAGAATAAATATAAAATAATTATTAAGATAAGGTAGATAGTATTAATAAAATTAGAAAAAAAGGAAACAATTCCAATGAATCCATAATCCAGTTCACACATGTTCATTAAATGAATTCTGATAATAATGTAGTTTGTACAATATTTAATTATTTCAATGGTTGAGATCATAGAAAACTAGGAAATAATAGACGGTCGTTTCGTTATAGTATAGAACTCCTCAGTAGTGCGTATCTACTATCCCGCCTCGCGAGATTCTAACCCAGGACTTATTAGTCTTGCGCGCAAACGCTTAACCTTTGAACCATTGAGCCAGCCGGTATCCAACGATGTTAATGTCTAATTTCAATTAATCCACGATATTAAGCGATACAATTACCATTGTCTTCAGTGAGTTACTATCTCACAACAGACTCGGTTGAACTCCACTGGTCATTGCTTCACATAGTAATATTTTTAAACTTGTAGTGAGTGGTTTATCTAAACAATGTTGAATTGAAATCCAATGGTAATTTTAATCAAGTTGGCAATAGAGTAAATCTTCTCAAAGAAATAATCAAGACTAAACATGGACTAAATAATACTGTAGCTTGATTACTATACTGCTACTGCTGAAGATACCGCTGTCAATATTAATGTTATTTAGTATTTTGAAAAAATGCGCTTAAATTATATGGATATGGACTAATCGTCCATCCATCTATTCAAAGAGTTTTTTATTATATAGCTCGATTCAGTGAGACTATAATATATAGATGACCTTTGAGTTATGTTAGAGTGACCTTGGGAGTGTCCACTTAATAAATAGAACCAAATGATGGTTACAAACCAGTGTGAGGAATTAGAATGATGATTTACAGTTGATGGTTAAGGTTAGGAATTCGATTTAGGGTTTTCATCACGAACTGATATCAATTATAACGCAAAAACTCTATTTGGCCAAATGGATGAATGAATTACACGCCAAAATCCATGACATGTTATTCTAAATCTGATCGATTCGTCCATAAATTATAATCTCACCCTCGATTCATTTCAACTATTAGTTCACGATTCTTTAACTTTCAATTGACCCAGTATGGGGGAATCTTTGTTGCCAAGATCCGAATAGTGATATACATAACTCTCCATATATATAGCCTGAAATGACACAGACAGGAGAACATGAGAGTATTAATTTTAACCAAACGCATGAATAACTCATTCACAGAAGACCAACCATATAATTACTATGTGATCATGCAGTGGCATGTAATCTATTCCACCTTACCGTGAATACCAGTTTTTTTTCTCATAAATTTCTAGTAGTCTAAATTATTCCACTCTGTGAATTAAATTGATCTCCACATTTCCATTGATAAATATTTGTCAGTATCAGAAGGGGTTTGGTGGATATTATAATAATTTTAATAGTTGAAATCATGAGTCAATTGAAGCTATATTATCATGGAAAACCTAACGCCAGACCAATAGTGCCTGGGTTCGAACCTCGCTAGGCGGGATCGTGGATGCCCACTGCTGAGGAGTCCCACAATAGGATGGAACGGTTGACTGTCCAGCGTTTCCAGGTTTTTCATGGTGTTCTTGCTTTAATTGACTCATGATCACAACTATTAAAATATTTCTTAATTAATATAAGTAGTTTTAAGACAATTATTTTATTCAGTTATAAATGTTATAGTTTTCTTTTTAAAATTTAATTATTATATATTACACGTGTCCTGGATTCCACTGCCAGCCACCAACCATCTTTGCATATAATGCTTGTGAATTAAAGCTATATCTAGGCAATACGCATAGTATGCACAAATGCCAATAAGAGACTGATCAATTACAGTGCTAAACATCAATTGGATGATTGAAGTAAACAATACCGAGGGAATTTATATATTACACTGTTTCAATATTTCAACTTTTTCCATGAAGGAATTATAATACACTCTATTATTTATATCATTCTTGTATTATATTAGAAATTTTTAAGAAAACAAATCATTCTGATGTTAAACCTTTTTTTCAACTATGTCGAGTATAAGATCGACTAGTGATATTGGAAGTATATTTACCCAAACATTTAGGATTGATTGAGATTAGGAATGTAAGCCATTGAACATAAGATCAATGATCAAAAAGACTTGAAATTCCTGAACTCTTTTCCAAATGGTGTTGAGAATATACAGTTTTGACGGAACTTATTGCTATGTTAATTTATGCTCTGGTTGTTAGGGAGGGACTTTGGCCTTGTGAATTCCGAAAAATCTCGGCTTTTACCATGAAGCATCATAACTCTTCCAAATGAAAATCCTTCAACTTTCAGGGCAGAGTTTAAATACGTTAAATGATTTTTTCCGAATTAACGTGTTTTATAAAAGTCGTTTTCTACGTCATGGGTTTACAAACCTCATACACAACCCTCTTCCGTTAACCGAACTTGTTACTGTGGCTCTCTAGGATCACTTGAAACAGACACTAATATTAGTAATAACTGTACTGTTTAATTATTTGAGTTAGACAATAACATGAATATGTTGCTTTCTGCATCATCTAGGAGTTTTTCGATTGCATAACTAATGGTTTTTTCAGTTATTTGATCAGTTATAAATGTCTTCTAGCACTAAATTAACAGCGAAGAAAATAAATCAGTTGTAAGATACTAGAGAGAGTAATCGACAAACTTATTCAAGAATGGAAATCACAATGCTAAGTGTATTATTAAATTTATCACTGGATGTTATGGAGATTATTGAGAATAAAGATTAACATCACAAATTGACTTTGGTTGAACAAGCACTCGAAACTAGAAAGTATTCAACAACTGCTTATTCCGAGTATAGAACTATTCAGTAGTGGGCATTTATGATCTCATCGAGGACAAAAATCAGGTTGCTCAACTCCCACAACAAATACTTAATTTTTAAATCACTGAGTCTTAATACATTGGTTTATAAGTCAAACATTAATCAGTTGAATGATTAATTGTTTGTCATGAGACTTGAATGTTCTGTATTCACTCTTTGATACCCCCAAATGCCCTAGTACGGCCAAGAGTGAGGTGGGCCAGCCCTCCCTCTTGAAATGCTCTAACACGTCCACGTGTATACAGCCTCTGCCAGGGAAGTCCTACTCACTGCCTTCTCGTGGCGGGGTGTTGTTTACAAAAATGAGAGGATGAAAAGCGAATGTCCGGCGCTTTAACCGGATCTCAAACCAGTGGTGCACATGGGCTCTAGTATCCTGAGTGAACGAATGGCGTATGAACCAATTGTTGGTCACCGGCTACTATGGGACTGCATCTCCTCACGATGCTCCACTACCTTGTGGATCAGACTTTTAGGTCAAAGGCTTGGGGTGTGCCCCCCCCCAAGAAAACCACCTGCTTCTGTTTAGGCAGCCGGGCAGATTCACAGCCCACACACACACACACAAATATGGTGTGGCGCATATATATTTGGTGCCCTCTTATACCAATATTTATGTGTTGAAATAAATAAAAAAATTCACTCTTTGATAAGGCAATAGATATACACTTATCATTTGATAAATCAATAAATGAAATAACTAAGAATATCAAGGATATTAATTCTAAACCTCAAAACTATTGGGATAAAAACAAACTTGGAATGTTTACATGTTTATTACAGATTACATTTTAAATATTAAAAGATAAATAAATAGAAAAAAAAACAAAGAGGCTGTATATATAATTTAACTCATAAAATAACTGAAATGGATCCATACAATTATTCCTAACAAAATCAATGAATATACACTCATATGTAATGTGTACAATGTGAAGAATTTACTTTTTTAAATGTTGAGATCATGAATCCATTGAAGTTAGATCATTATGGAAAACTTGAAAATACTGGATGGCCGTTTCATCCTATTGTGGAACTTTTCAGCAGTGCACATCCATGATCTTGTCTAACGAGATTCAAACCCAAGACCTATTGGTTGCACACAAACGCTTGACCTCTAGATCACTGAGCTGGCCATCATTCAATGGTATTCATGATCTCAACCATTAAAATTACTATAATATCCACAAAAACCCTTCTGATATTTTAAAAAAAGTATAAATTAACACGTAGTTTATATTAATTTGTTTTTGTACAAGGAGAAGATATAAAATCCCAAGAGAAAATTCAATATTCTATACATAAATATTTGAAAAGATTGCGTTACATACAAAATAGAATAAAATTAATGTTTAGCTTTAAAACAATTAGTACATAATAATAAGAATATTATTATTATTATTATTAGCAGTAATAGTAAGATAAATAATAATGATAATGATCTCCTCAAAGGTCACTATTGAATATTGTACATTCGATAAGTCAGTTTTGTAGTCACCTAAAAAAACAATAAACAAAAGTGAATTGTAGCAATGACAATAATGATAATTTTATAGTTGAATTCATGAGTTAATTGAAGTTAGACAACCATGGAAAATCTGGAAGCACTGGACGGCCGTTTCTTCCTATTGTGGAGCTCATCAGCAGTGCACATCCACGATCCTGCCTCACGAGATTCAAACACAAGACCTACTAGTCTCGCGCGCGAGCACTTAACCACTAGACCACTGAGCCGGTCGGCATCCAACTGTGTTAATGTCTAAATTCAACTAATCCACGAAATTGAGCGACACATCCACCATTGTCATCAGTGAGTTACTATCTCACAACTGACCCGGTTGAACTCCATCGGTCATTGTTTCGCACTAGAACTCCAAGATATACCTCTTTAAGCCAGCCACTAGTGAGTATATGTTGATTATTATGAGAAGGGTTTTGTGGAGATTGTAGTAATTTAATAACTGAATTTATTAGTCAATTGAAGCTAGATCATCATGGAAAACCTGGAAGCACTGGAAGGCCGTTTCGTTCTAGCATACGGCTCCTCAGCAGTGCGCATTCCCGATCCTGCCTAGCGAGATTCGAAACCAGTAGAACTGAACAGTCACTTGATACTCCTAAGGAGGCTTTTCGGTGGTGCTCACCTAGGGTTCGAAAGTAGGACCTTCGTACCTCACTATAAACCACTAACTTTAGAACTACCAAATCAGCGTTCACTTGTAAAATTCCAGCTTCAGTCAGTTGATGATATAGCAGGATAATCATCAAATGGAACTAGAGATAGCTGTCTCATTCACGTTATGTTCAAACTCCACTAAATATAATTTCTCAGTGGAATTTGAAGAATATTATTAAACAGATCATCAATAAACTAACGAATAGAGTTTACTTGAAAAATTTTGGTTGATAAATCGTGACTAAAGAAGTTCAGACTTCTTGTGAGTGAAACACTTATCATTAGTTGGATTGAATGACCGTTCCAGTATATCATAAATTAGTTACAGTCACAATTATAATATTGAATGCTGACTCAGTGGTTCTAATGACTTAGTCTTCACTAGAAAATCTGAATGTCTTGAGCATAATCCCTAGTGTAGTTATGAATAGAAACTTTCAAAATTTCTATAACTAACTACACTCTTCTCTAATGTGAAAATGTAAATTTTAAAAAAATCTCTATTTTGCCAAAAAATTTCTTTTCTATACTGTATATGTCCTATCCTGTCCTGTCATATGTGTATGTTATAATACATTTTGTTGATAAGATGAAATACTATTAGTTAGTTATATAATATACCCTTGTGAGCCGGGGTAATTTTACATTGGTTTTCAGGAGAACCAGACACCATCCTAACTTTCACGTGACAATCCAAACAGTACAGCTCAACCCCGTTTAACAGGGGAACCAGACACCGTATCGGCTTTAACGCTACAATCTGAATAGTACAGCTCAATCCTGTGGCGCAACCACACAGGTACCAAGCACCCTGGTGGACCATTCTCACCTTTCATATACACATTCACATCACATGTATAGTTATTCCGATCAATGATCGCGTGAATCAATTATGCACAGCACAAACAGGCCAAAGTTGAACTATTCCGCTTACACAACAGTCAAACTCGTTAATGTTAGCAATGGCGATATGCTTTACAATGTCCCAATGACAATGGTCCTCGGGAACACTGAAAAGCAACCACAAGTATGAATGAAATCGGTTAACCAGCAAACCAATTTTTTGCATGAGCAGTAAGCAAAACTTGCCAAAGCAATGCCGAACCATCCACAATACCAATGGCGAACCTCCAGCCTCATATGAGATCTTCAGCTCTACATAGCCATATAGCCTGTCGTATGGTGTTCTCTTAACTTTCGGATTGCCTGATCTGCCAATGGCGATGGGACAGTACATGATGCTATTGTTGTGTGCTAGGTTCAAAGAGAATTGTATGCTATATGCATGCAAATCCGCCCCATTATTGTTTAAGATGAAATATAATTATTAATAAAATGACTAGAAAATCAATTTTTTTCAAAAAAAAAAGGGAGTATACTTCGCCTTAGTGATTACCAACTACACTTTTTTATTGTTTAATCATAATTTAACGGCTAATTAACATACCATATTGTTGTTCAGTTATTTAATTCTAATTTATCTTGAATAAATTCATTTGATTCTGCTTAAAATTCATCATGTTGACCTTGAAAAAAATAACCTTAACAAATAGGAAATTTCAATCGTTGAAATCATGAGTTAATTGAAGCTAGATCACCACGGAGAAACCTGGAAACAATAGACAGCCGTTTCGTCCTATTGTGCGACTCAACCATTGGAATTACTAAAATTTCCACAAAACCCCTTCTCATAATAATCATTGTATGCTCACTAGTGACTGACTTCAAAAGGTATTTCCTAGAGTTCTAGTGAGAAGCCGTCACTAATGGAGTTCAACCAGTTCTGTTATGAGATATTAGCTCACTGAAGACATTGGTGTACGGTGCCGCAATTTCGTGGATTAGTTGAATTTAGACATTAACACTGTTGGATGCCGAACGGCTCAGTGGTCTAGTGGTTAAGTGCTCGCGCGCGAGACTGATAGGTCCTGTGTTCGAATCCCGCGAGGCACGATCGTGGGTAGGCAGTGCTGATGAGTCCCGCAATGGGACGAAATGGCCTTCCAGTGCTTCCAGATTTTCCATGGTTGTCTAACTTCGATTGACTCATGAATTCAACTATTGAATTTACTAAAAATCTCGACAAAACCCCTTCTGAAAATAGGGAATTAATGAATTTAAACATATACGAAGTGTAATTTATGTCATTCACTTTAACTTACTTCGATTTAAGTAAAAAAGATTAAATGAAATACAAAAGTGTGTATAGTTAATTATTGAGTTGCATTAAAACTATTTTTTTTTTAAGAGACTAATAACAATTTGTAATCTACTGATTATAGAAAAGTAGTAAATAAGTATTTTATGTTAATTTGAGACTATTCGGCATTAGATCTCGATTTAATGAATAAAAAGTATCATGGTTAATGTAAAACATGATATTTGTAGATATAATTTACTGTAAGTTTATAAGTGAGCATCACTGATGAGTCCTAAAGTTGGACGAAATGAATTTTCCATAATTATTGATGTGGAATATAATGTAGTCACTATTTAGGTAATTCAATAATAAGAATAACTTTTATTTGATCATTTTCTAGTTAATATCAAATTATAAACTATTTTTGAAGTTCTAAAGGAGTTGAAATGGTTAATGGTTTACATCACGAACTAATTTTAGTGATAATAACAACTAATGACTAAAAAGTACTAGTTTAGCCCCTAATATGGAACTACTCAGTTGTGTTTATCTACAGCCTTATGAAAGATTGAACTCAGCATCTTTAGACCTTTCAGTGATCGCTTAACCTTTAAACCACATAGTCGGCATCCAATTCTCTTTCAATCCATTGATAGTGAAATGTTTCAAAAATGACATAGATAGAGGTTTCATTATCAAATTTGATAATAACTCCATACAATTTACATCGAAAAAGTGAGATTATTAGGTGGTTTTTAGAAGGGACTCTAGTAATTCTTAGAAAAGGACACGAACTTTGAAAGTATCGGATGATTAAACTGTTTTGAACTTAAAAACTAAAGTAATTATGGAAGGATGAATAAAGGATTTCTGATATATCGAATTCTTCAAGCTGAAAGATTGAATTATGAATATTTTTTAGATGATATCATCAAGATGAAATCAACTAAGTGAATTATCAAGTATATACTTAATCAGAACAAACTGTTTGTCGCTTATGATGACATTTCAACAACACACTTGTGATTTGAGATGATGGAGAAGATTTGTATTTCAGATGAATGATTTTGATAGAGTTTTATTCCAGCTCAAAGAACAAAACTGCATAGAAACTATTTTGTTTACGGAAAACATGAATACATTGAATAGAAGAAAAAACAAATTGTAGCATCATGTAGTCAGTAAATAAATGAACATTTTTTTAAAAAAGATGTTTAACATGCTACTTACTTATTGTCATTTAAGTAGTAGTAGAAACCATAATATTCGATTTTATATTTCATGTAATCAATAAATGATTATTGATTATTTTTTGCTTAGATTTTTTAATCATATGTTCATTTTTTGATATTCTATTAATTTCTTTCGATAGAGGATCAATGGTTTCATATTGATTTTTTATTTGTTTATTATTCATTTGATAAAGATCAATACATGAAGAAAATTGATTTTTTATTTTCGTTTTATGATATTGATTTAATTGATTTAATTGTATTAAATGATTTAAATCATGATCTAAACTTTTAGATCGATAATTTATGAAAGATGATTGATTTTTTAATTTATTTGTTAATTGATTATTGTTTAAATGAATGTAATTTTCACGTTTGATTTTTGGTTGCCATAATGTAAATAAATTACATGATTGATTATTATGTAATGTTATCTGTTTCATTTCATTATTCAATGGAATAGATTGTTTACAAGTGAATTGATCTTTAATATATATTCCATTATTATCGATTGTATGATGATTTCGATCAATTTGATTTGATTTTTTGCATGGAGTTGATGGAATTATCATTGAATGTTTTATAGAATATTGATTATTGAATTGATTATTATTATTATTATTATTATTATTTATTATTTTATTAGATCGATTATAATTTTGATGATAATAAAATGATGGTATATAATCAATAGTTGAATTAATTATTTCCCATTTCCAATAGGATTTATCATTAATTATTATTGAATTCAATGTATTTAATTGATTTAAATCAATATTATATTGATCTTGAATATTTTGTATACTTTTCATACATGCTTCATAGGCTTCTATTTGAATATTTTTATATTTTATTGGATTCTGTAATAATTTATTTGTAAATAATTGACGAATTGGTTCAATGGTAGGTGATAAATTGCAATCGATTGACATCTTGAATTAAACACAATAATTGTAACCAAAATAATAATAAAAAAAATTGATCGCGTGCCTAATTTTACATGGATATTATGAAAATAGAATTGATGACACATGACCATGAATTGACCAATCAGATGTTTTCTTTTAAAATAAATAAGTAAAGTAGACATGGTAACCATTCAAAAAAAAGAAGAAATATTGCGATGAATTGACCAATCAAAAAATTATTAAGGGAAGTGATATTTTAAATTCACTTCTGTATTGTTTGGCTTGTATCTTCCGATTGATGTTTAAGACTATAACTGATCAATCTGTTATTGGCATATATGCATACTGTGTGTATTGCCTTGATATGGTCTTAATTCACAAGTATTATATACAAAGATGGATAGTGACTAGTAGTGGAATACAAGGCGCATGTTTTGTCCCATTTTTATTCGTCAGCTGGTGGATGTACCTGTATCTCAGAGTTGATGTTCACTTTCGGACTCGACTCAGTATCATTCGCTAGAAACGCCTTCGTGTTATCTACTTAGCTACTGAGTCCTCATAGCCACTTGTTTGTGCAATGGGATAAAGTTTAAATTCAATTGGTACTGTTTGTTTGAATCTTTCCATTGATATTTAGGACTGTAAATGATCAGTTCGTTATTGACATATCTGCATACTTTATGTATTGCCTCGATATAGTCTTAATTCACAAGTATTATATACAATGGTGAATAGTGGTTAGCAGTGGAACAATTTTGAATCTTTAATATTGACCCAAAGATATGATATTATAGAAGTGGATGTATCAAAATAGGAGAGATAAAAATTGAGATAAGATACATATATGTAAAGTTACTATGAATCTATGTCTTAATGTTCAATACATTTTATAATATCTGGAGCCCCCTTGGGGCTACTGCCGGCCCCGGAGGGTTTTTCATGGGGTTAAGGACTCTATTCCGTAGAAAACTAACTCTCTAAAAAAACGCTAACCAGAAAAAGTAGGTGTGTTACATTGAAAATTGAAAATTTTATTTTAAGTTTTGACTCTCAGTTTATTTAGTTTTTTTAAAAATTGTCTGTCAAGTTGGAATGTTCTACAGTGTCGTCTTCATGGAAGACATACGTGAATGATTGAAATGAACTTTCAAGTGAAAATGATATTCTTATTTGCAGTACTTAAATGGTTTAAATAATTTTTTTCTGGTAAGCGTTTTTTTAGCGAGTTAGTTTTCTACGGGATATGGGTCGCTAACCCCATGCCTAACCCTCCTACTTTATCTGGGTTTGGGACCAGCAGTAGCCCCTGGAGGGACTCCAGGCGGAGTTTTATTTGCAGTACTGACCGATTAAATAAACAGAAATATGCCCGAAAATGCTAGATATTACACACTTATTGAACACTTGAAAAAAGGATGGTTATTCTAACATAAAATTCAAGTTTATTAATAACTTAAAGTACGTTTTACTGATGTTTTTATTTTAAAAATATGATTGACTGATATAAGTCAATGATCGAAACACGAATAGAAAAACACTGAACTATAGTTCGATAGGTTTTTGAGAATTCAAACGAAATCAAACGTATGATATGCAAGTCTTATGTGAGCATAAGATTTTTAGATCACTAAATCTGAAACCAATAGTCTACCATCGTCAAGACTGAACAATCTCTACAATTCACAACCTTAATAAATGACAGTGATGCGTAGATAAAATAGTGACTGATTTTGTAAATATTTCTCTAACTTCTTGTGAAAAGAATGACTGATGGAATTCAGTCATGTTGGGAGTAGATTACTGACTTATTATTTAGTGTCTGATTAGTAAAGTATCTGAAATTAAACTTTGATATCGATGTTATGATCTCTAAACAGGTCATGACTGAGTATGGTGAATGAGTTGCTAACTTGAAGGAAACATTGTCTTAGTGATTATTCGCTTTTACAAACTGTTCAAATGAACTAATTTACACAAATTTACTTCTTATGGTTGAAACAAAATGATCGAATCATAGACGTTTTACAGCATTCGATCAATAATGGTCAAGCAAAATTCAATTTGACAAAGATAACTTATTTCAAAGGCATGTGTTTTTATCTGTATGATCTCTCAAATGATCAAACTTTCACTTTACTACACTTAAGTAAAAAAAACTTTTACTATGGTTAAATTCATAGTTCATCAATGGTTAATGATTCAGTCTGGATGCCGGTAGTCAACTTGAAAAGTAAATGATTTTTTTGTTTGTGAACTATGATAGTGTATTTTCACGAATTCATCTTGTTCTGAAAAAAACAAGAAAATTTAGGATGTCTAGTTGAGGATCACTTCAACTTTTTTTTTACCAATGAAAAGGAATAATATAAATACCTACTCGAGTATAGTGTTCTGATTTCTTAGTAACATTACGGTTTGCAATGTTATCACCACCCTATACGTTTTCCTGAAAATTTTTGAAAGTAACTTTATGTGTTTACAGTAAGACAGTCTGAACTAACAATATTCTCTTTCCAAATCATTGTTGGCCTTCATAATCGTTATAGATAAACATCTAAGTAAGTCAAAAATTAAACTAACATACGAATCACATTAGATCGGATATAAATAATTATCTTGTATTTTTAAGTGTTCATCATAATTAAACTAAGTAAAACAATATTCTTATGTGTATAGGTGAGAAAATATTGAGCAAGATTGATTACAGTATTATAGCAACGCTAAAGAGAAACTTCTATGTAGCTCAACTATTTTTGGTGTATAACATCAAATGATTCCTTAAATCAATCAAAGATGGATCAATACTATTTTGATATCACCTTTAACTGTAGTTACGAATTGACATGTACTTGTGAAAGGAATTGAATAGGAAGGATCAAAAGAAGGATATTTACATGGTATTTCAAATACCTTCTCCGTAAGTTGTGTCCAAAATGAAGTATTCATAAGTGTGATCATTAAACATTTAATAGATAATAAACACAAGGTGGATGTATCAACAGCGTTAGAAATAATTAATGGTAAAATATACTATTTTCTCCAAGGACATTACCATCAAGAGCTTACGACATCACCTGTGTATACAAAAAGACAGTGTAGTAAATCTATCATTACCACAGTAAGATAGTTATATTACTTTAATGCTTGTCAGTTACATTATCTTTTCAATATGATTTATAACATGAAGTAGAAAAACGTACTGACATCCATTAACAACGCTAGTGTTAATTTATGTCAATTAGGCGTCATGACTATCACTAATCTGTTAATAATTTGTTTCTATTCATTATCTATTTATTATCACTTAAAACTTTCCCCCTTTTCCCCCTTTTTTATGATTTCATCTTCATCATATCAATACTAATCAATCTTAACTATTATTGATGTGTGGGCGAGAATGATAATGTTTGGTTGTCTGCTTAGTCAGATATGTAGATAGTCTGACAAGTGTCAGATGAGTTATATATTCCCTTATCCTTATTATTGTGACTCACTTATTAGTGATTGTTCATTGTTGTTGGATTGTGTCGGTTTTTTGGTTTGGAAATATATTTACATTGTGGTCAGGCTAATCACGTGTTCTTGATCTGAGTTGTGTTGAAGTCCTGACGAATAGACACGGAGGGAATCTAGTGTAGATATTCGTCTAAGGTAAATTAACATCCCATACATGTAAACGTGGAAACCCAACCGTTATAACACTAGACAAAGTAAAACCGAGCGTTATAACAATAATTTGCTTTGAGCTGATGAGAAATCTTAAAGTATAATGAATTCATGTTGTTCTCCAAATTTTGTTCTTCTACTTTTATTCAGTCATGTATTGTAATTGATTGATTTTTAACTACTTCAAGATCATAAAAAGTGCCACTCTTTACACATTTTGAAGTATATTTCCGTTTTCATTTTCAATACTCAAAATTGATTTGGAGTAGTTACTTGATTTTTAATAGTTGAATTTAGTCTGAAAAGACTTCAAACCTAGTTTATACTCGTCAAAGGATCAGTACTTGCTATAAGATCCTAATCCATACAATAAAGTTTCTTAATCAAAGAAGTTACTACCGTATGTTATCTGAGTAGTTCCTGAATTCCTGAGACATTGCGTAATTCTAAGTTGAATCTCATAAAGATCATTAATCCCATCAAGATCATAGATATAAATCACTCATAGGGACCAACTAGCGTAAATTCTTGTTCTAAGGCTATCTTTGAGTCTCTGACATTAAACATGATATGCATAGAATGTTGAGTCGCTGAAACCAATGACTAAATTATGGCTTGGTTGATTAGTATTTTCAGTGATTGAAATCATGAGTCAATTGAAACTAGACCACCATGAAAAACCTGGATGCACTGGACGGCTGTTTCGTCCTAGTATGGGACTCCTCGGCAGTGCGCACCCACGATCCCGCACCTCGCGAGATTCGGACCCAGGACGTATCAGTCTCGCGCCAGGCGCTTAACAAACTAGACCACTGAGCCGGCCGGCATCCAACTGTGTTAATATCTAACTTCAACCAATCCACGAAGTTGCGCCACCGTACACCACTGTCTTCAGTGAGTTCCTATTTCACAACAGACCTGGTTGAACTCCACTGGTAACGGCTTCTCACTAGAACTCCAGGAGTATTTCCTGAAGTGGTCTAGCTTTAATTGACTCATAATTTCAACCAGTAAAACTTCTAAAAATCTCCACAAAACCCATTCTGATTAGTATTTGTTCAGAAATAGGAGTTATATCACACTAGTTATTACTTAGTTTTTACTTAGTGTAAACAGTTGTTCACTTATTAATAATAATAGGTGTTTCATTCGAGAGTATTTCTTCTACTACTTATCACTTAAAAAATAACAAATAATTTTGTACAAGAAACAATCTGAATGAAGTCATCCATTATTTTACTGATATGCACATACACTTATGGACATATATATATATCCACAACTCGTGCTCCCCTATATATATATAATACTGCAGGCCATTCGAATTTACACATAACCTCGAATATTAAATCTCAAACT